ACACCCCAACCAGTATATATAAATTGAAAGCAAGGGGACACTTCAACCATTTCTAAATGTTTCCTCTTAAAGAAATGGAAGGGCAGGACTATCAAAGAAGGTTTGAAATAAAGGGAAGGTGCCAGAGGGTTGCCCAACTGTAGCATAGCTAGCATATTGTGAATTTGAGATAAAACCATCATTTCCCTCTTCTCATAATGAGGGAGGGCAAATATGAAATATATCTTTCGATATTGTATGTGTACCAATTTAGTATTCTATCTGAAATAAATACATAAATAATTAAAAACTCTCAATATAAATGAAATTTACTCTAATTTTCACGTATGACGCTGATATAAAAAAGAAGCCTAAAACAGGATTTAAAGATGAAAAATGGAGATATGAAAAAACAAAAGAAAAATGGGATAGAAACATTATTAGGTGAATATGATAACACAGAAGCAGATTTGTGCATAAAGAAACCAAAGGAATAAATTAGGTCAAAAAAGCAGGATAGATTCATAGATTGAAGAAAATAATTTCAAACTGTGGAATATGAGATGTAAACCATGAATATGTTTGTAATACTGATTAAACAAAGGACATTTAGCAAATCATATTTTGGTTATATTTAGTGTGCTGCAGCTAGCTTTATTGGCTCATGAGATTCAAATCTTCATGAATTTTGTGAGCTAGCTGAGAGCAGAGTAGAGCTGTACCATGTTGCATATTGATCAGCTGTTTGGTGACTCGTAGCAGAGCCTGTCCGTGGCAGTAAATTATGCATTTACTAGTATATCACTGGTTGGTTGCTTACAAACTGAAGACATGCAACTACTCTATTTCTCACTACAGGCTTACCCTGAGTTTGTCCTAACTTACCTAGAAGAGTTAAATGTAAAAGAGATGGTCCAGATCAAATGCTCCACACATGAGGTCCAGTCTGTACTTCATCAAAAGATAGATGACAATTCAGAAGACATCCCTATTCCACACCAGAACCAGAGCGAGGTCAGAGCAAGTGGCTTTTTTTCAGAGGAAAATCATTTGAAGGGAGATATTACAATTTAACATACATGGCTCCAGAAAAGAGAGCAACAATACAAAAGAGAATACTCAATATACAAATCCTACTTTTTTAAAAAAGTATTTTCCTCATGGTTTATATTAAAATTCTCTGATTGCTGAGTTTTATTCAACATAAGCATTATGATTCCTTATATGTTAATTCCACAGGTTTTAGAAAATAGTGACCACAACAGCAAGGAGAAACAACTTTCCAGACCTTTGGACGCCCATTTAATGCCTAAAGGTACCTCAGGCGAGAATTGCCAGCTGACAGTAGCATTGGTGAGGAAACTGGAAGAGAAACATCCTAAGGCCTCAGCTCAAAGGTAAGCTAGTGACAGAGTTGATATTTATTGTTCAATGACATTAGAAATTTTCCTTCAGTTTTATGTAAGATTGATTTCCTGGATCTTAGTGAAATATCTCAAAAGCCCTCTGGCTTGCAAGGAGAAATGGAGTTTTAACCAAATCTAATGAAAGGGGGAGGAAGGAGGTGACATTTATGCAGGTTTTTTTAAAAAAAGATTGATGTCTACACTTATCACTGAGGACAAAGTATCATTACGTATTATGCATGAATTGTAGCATAACACCATAAAGTGTATAATTTATGGTATTTAATTATCATTTATTAATTCTATATATGCAAAATAACAGTTTCCTAGATTCATATAAATAAATTGTTGTAAATTCCCTGGATGTCTTAAACCAATGTTATATTGACTATTGTAAGAAGATAACACTTATACATTTAATACATATTTGCAATGAAATTACTGAAGTGCTTTAAAAGGTAAAATAAAAGAACTTTACAATTAATAAACAAAAACATGTACATTTTTCAATTCTCATTTTAGCTATATAAAATAATATAAATGCTTCTATTCTATTCTTTCTTTAAATATGCATTTCTTACAGTTTTCATAATAAAAGTATGGAGCCTATTTAAGGGTTGTTAGTTTTATATTACATAAATATGAGCTTTGCTGAAATAAGCCCAGCATTAAAATCAGTACTGTTATATCAGTTTTCAGAGGGATCTTGTATTACGGCATTTCTGTTTCTTTTCAGCTATCTATCAGCTTTTAAACATGCTTTGTGGAATAATGTCCTGAATACCTGCTAGTTTACATTATGGTATTTGTGGCTGGATTATTGCAATGTACATTATGTAGAACTGCTCTTGAAGACTATCAGAAACTGCAGCTGGCCAGAATGCAGCAGCATGGGCAATTCTAATACTCACAGTTTGCCCAAATTACATCATTATTATGTGAGCTGCAGAGTCTTCCATTTGGTTTCTAGGTGCAGTTCAAGGAGTGGTTATCACCTTTAAAATTCTACATGGCAGAGGGCCAGATTATTTGTGGGACTGCATTTGCCCAAGCCTTTGGAATAGCTTTCCATCTGAGATCTGAGACATCTACCCTTTTAGCCATTCAGAAGGGCATGAAGATCTGGCTGTTCACCCAACCGCTGGTCTAGGATGGGGCTAGTGCCTGGTTTTATTCCTCTTTAATTTGTTTTATTCACCTTTTTATTGGTTGTTGTGAGCCACCTAGAATTGCTTTGTGAGGTAACAAGCATATAAGTGCTTTGTGAGGTAGAAATAAAAATCATTTTAATATATATATATATGATAAATTTAGATTTAATAGTGCATTTTTAAATGGGCCAACAGTATGTCAAATTTCATTCTAGTCTTAAAGGCAGACACAGGCTATACTGTGTTACATGTACTTCAATGATTGTGGAGTTAGATCGCCTTCAGTTCTGGGAAAAACCTTCTTGATAGGTAGAGTTTGCCAACCTTTGATCTATACTTCTTACCCTTTTCTCCTGGTCAATTGCACTTCTTCTATAATTAGATACTATATATCAAGTATTATATATGACTAAGGCCAGCTGTGGTTAAAACAGTTCTGGGATGTTTTGGGCCTGTATTTAGAATTCTGATTAGAACCAGATTTTGAGTGTGTTTTTGAGCATGTTTGGCTTTAATGCAGGGCTGAAATCCAGCCAGTGGTAACAGATTAAAAGTTGCAGAGGTAAGTGATATATAACAGAAGAAGAAACTCTTATTATCCCAGGAGCCACTTCTGATTCATTAGCTCCAATCAGTATTCCTGTAACATCTTAAATTTTTCATTTAAAAAATCAGTGGATTCACTAAGTTTTGTAGAATAAGGATCCCCAACCCCTGGACTACTGTGTTGTGGCCTATTTGGAATTGGGCCATGCGAGTGGCTGGCCAGACCATATGCATGTGTGCATCTCAACTTTCATGAGCAGCGAACCGGCAGGAACTCACACAAGTCAAGCTGCATGTGTGCTAGTCCACCACTTGCACAAGGGCTGCTCATACAGTTTAGTTCCCCCCTCTCCACCCTCAACTGGGATGCCAAGCTGCAAAGGTTGGAAACCACTGTTTTAGAAGATGCATCCTATATTATTTTTCTGTATTTTAATATGATACAGATTGACAATATGATTCACTCTAAAATATTTTTTTAAATCTCTGAGTAAATATAATGAATGAAAAATAAGATCCAAAATGAATTAGCATGGTGAAGGGAAATATTTTCCTATTCCTATTATTTCTTCTGAAATGGCTAAAAGGTGAAGATCTGTAATACTAAATATGAATATGAAAATATTCTGTTTGTTCTTGTTTCTAAGGGGATGGGAGGCAATATAAAGCTTTTTCTTATTATTCCAATTTTACACTAGTAAGAATTCTGCCATAAAGGAGGACTTAAAGAATGGAGCACATTTTTTCATGACTCTGTCAGCATTTTGTCTTCAATCAAAATGACCTTATATGGTATGCTTTTAAGTGCAGCTGTTCTTGAACAACGGGCATTTCCCACGCCTTTCGTTTTCAGCCCCTGGTGTCAATAAAAGGCACAATCAATGAACTTTTTGAAAGGGGGATTCTAACGTGAGGAGACAAACAACAGAAAACTTTTTAGAGGTGTTTCATGCCAAATCATTCAATATTTCAGAAAGTTCCTTGATCTTCAAGAACTGTTTTTAGGTTCCAAGAAGATGCAATAGAAATAGCATTATGCCCACCAATTTTTATCTATAAAGTATATTCATCCAATGCATAGTTATTTGTTGTACTTGTTGCAATTCTACTTAAAAGGAGCACAGGAGATGATTCCAAGTAATTTAAAACATATTAGGAACAAGTCATAAGATTTGTAGGATATCTTTTTTGCTTAAAATAAAGACTTTGTTATTCTTTTTTAATTATGTTATCACAGATTGGAGATGAACACTATTTTCTAACATTAATTGTTTAAAAATTATTATTTTTTACTTCATTGAGTTGCCTCAGTATCAGTCACATTTTTTGTTTCATTAATTTTGGTAAAATTGGACACCTATCTACTGTATTCCCATTGGGTAAACAAATTCCTGTAATTTAAATTTAACTAAAAGCAAATGATTTGCAGTATTGCTTTGCTTTTCAAACTATAGCATACAGATGTTTATGTTTTAATTTTTTTTTTCAACATTTCCCTTTATTTTACTCTGTGAGGAATTTATGACAGATTCTTTTGACTGAAAATCCAAGGTTTTCCTCATGATTTATTTGCCATCTAAATGTTCTAAAGGTTAAAGCTTTGAACTGGGGACAAATTAGCTTTCATTACATGCATTTTGACAAAATTACTTAGTTCTCTGTTTGAGGTAGATAATTCAAATCCATTTTTCCTCTCCCTTTCTCAGGACCACAGAAAAACTAATTCAAGATGGTACAAAACTGGGTATCATTTGTTTTCTCCTGACAATGTGAGGATGCAGTTGTTTGCATTATTATATTAAATTGAGCAACTTACCTTTATTTAAATTGAATAGATATTGTGGAGGGAGAACTGTAGCAGCCAACAAAGCATGGTGACCCAGCTTGTCACCCAGTGACCTGTGAGAAGGAAATAATCAACTGTGAGTAGCTGTCATCTTAACTGATTCTGACAGTTTGGCTCTGGGCACATCTGTGCTAGTTGCATGGAAAGGCCTTTGTTGTTTTCCCACTAGTGACTTTGCTGACTGCTGTAGGGGTTGCTTGCTGCCCTACTCCTACTCTTCCCTCCCCTTCAGGAGGGAAAGCAGCTGCCAGTTATGGGATTGACATTTCTTTCAATGATTTACGTGGCATTTATTTAATTATAAAGTACAAGTTCACATTGGATATTAGACCTTTGCAGGGCATTCTAAGTGAAATTAAGATCCTTCTTGGATTGTACTTTTTCAGTCAAAAATTGTACATTTTTCAATTTGCATGGAAAATAGTGAACTGATGGCCTCTCCATTTTATAAAAATATATCAAATGTTTATCTTACTATTTTAATAGTGCTAACCATTTGCAATGCTTAATATTCCTAAGTTCCCTTTAGCCAGCTAAAGTTACCATTTTGTCTAATTGCTTTAATTATAATTGCCTTTTCTTATTTCAGTATCATAGTAAATTGATTATAAATAAGTGTTTTCCTTTTCCTTCAGGACTCTTATATGCTAAGACTTTTTACCTGAATGTACAAAGTTCTTTTAACCTCTTTTGATTAAAAGCACATAATAAAATGGAAGAGCAAAAGAAAATAAATGCATAATTTGCCATGCAAACTTTTTATGTGCACTTTTCTTTATAGGAACACAAACTGATGTTTACAATGGTTAAAACTGGATTACACTCATTAGTTAAGGAGATTTGCACTCATGTGATCTATGCATTACCACTATGCTTCCTAAATCTGCTCTAGAGATCCTCCAAGCTTTCAGAACAGATGGGGGGGGGGACTGAAGTGGAAGGGAAATCTGTTAGACCACCATTTTATTTTTTTATTGGCAGATAGTCAGTATTGGATACAACCCAGTCTTAATTGTTCTTCCTTAGTAATAATTTGTTCTGGAATAAAGCAGATGTTTTTCTTCCTTCATGGAATAAAATAAATCTGGAGCTGTAATGAGAGAAAAAGTACAGTCATGATTTTTTGTTTGCAGACATACTGCAGACCTAGTCTTCATGCCAATTTTGAGAAAAAAATATGAATAATTCGACCATACGTACTGTTTATAATGTAAATGATGGAATGGAGCAATTCATTTATCAGTAATATATGTATTATCCATTTATGAAAATGGCAATTTTATGAAAGTTAAATTCTTCTTACAGAAATGTCTAAGGAATAAAGTAGATAAGATTTTATATTTAAATAGAAAAAAAGGGAAGATTTTCTTAACTTCAAGCACAATGCAAATATTTTACATGAATAAATGCACATTTAACTTCATTATTGAAAGGTCTTTTTTCAGTTTGGCAATGATCCTATTCCAATTCACACCTATCCTAAGGGAGAATGGAACCTTATTAGTTTTGGGAGATCTCTCAGATGTTTCAGGTTCATCAACCACAGTAATCTTTCTGAATAGATTCTAACTGGAAGAGCAATATGCTATGTTATGCCATCCTGGTTTCATTCCTTATGTACATGGCCTATTCTGGAAGATAATCTAGATAAAATGGGATCCTCATTTTGCTCTGACAGCAGATTCTATAAGTATCTGCACTATCCCCTATGTTTTTAATATTTACATCAAGCTCATGAGAAAGTTATCTTGTGATTGGGACTGAGATAACAATATATGAATGACATTGAGTTCTATTTCTCTTTTTCACTACAATCATGTTCAGTCCTAGGATGTTTTAAACCAGTGCTAATAGATAAATGATGACTCAGTCAGGATCCAGATTTGAGAGCGAGACTGTTTGGCTCAACTGTCTGCATGAATTATATTCAACTTGTTTTGAAGAAGATTCCCCTCCTTTTATAACATCAGAATCATAGCTTTGCTCTTGATACCACACTCTCTTAGAGGTACAGGTTTTCTCAGTAGTTCAATGCACTTTTTAGCCCTATTGGCTGATATACCAGTTTTGAACATTCAATTATTCCTGTTTTGATAACTTCCTGTTTTGGTTACTGCAGTCATAAGTGGAAGTGGTTTGGAAATACTCAAATACAGCTCATCAGTCTGGAACCCACATTACGTATCTGATATTAGCACAGTTGAGAAAGTCCAGAAATATTTCACAAGAAGAGTTCTCCACTCCTCTACTCATTGCAGAATACCTTATGCCACCAGACTTGAAATTCTAGACCTAGAAAACCTTGAATTACGCCGTCTTCGGTCTGATCTAAGTATGGTATATAAAATCATACATTGCAATGACTTACCTGTCAATGAATACTTCAGCTTCAACCATAACAACACAAGAGCACACAATAAATACAAACTCAAGGTTAACTGCACCAAGCTTGATTGCAGGAAATACGACTTCAGCAGCAGAGTGGTCAATGTCTGGAATACTCTACCTGACTCTGTGGTTTCTTCACCAAACCCCAAAAACTGTCTACTATTGACCTCACCCCTTTCCTAAGAGGTCTGTAGGGGGTGTGCATAAGCGCACCAACGTGCCTACCGTCCCTGTCCTATTGTTTATTTTTCTTATATGTACCCATTTCATGTAGTCATAACTATGTATATACTTATACCTATTATCTTGCAAGCAATTGACAAATCAAATAAATAAATAAAAAATAAAAATAAAAAAAGTTTATATAATCCAGAACAGACAGCCAGACTCTTAATTAGAGCTTTAGCCTTATTATAATATTTCGTAGATATTTTACTTACTTCCAATTAATTTCACCATTGTAGTGGTAGGAAAAGTGACCTTGGGAAACAGAAAGGAGAGCCACAGATGGGACAACCAGCTTGTAAAAGATATCTCAGGCCACAGAAGGGGGATGACCAATTTGTAATTGTATCTTATTTCCTAAGAGGTGGGAAAGAGAGATGTAGTTTTCATGGCGAAAAATGCAACTGACAGATCTGAAAAGTTTGAAAATAGTTCAAGAATAATATTCAAGAATTGAATATGGATAAACATCCCCTTTATGTTCCCGAAGAGAAATCTATATATATTGAGAGAGGCCTATTCAAAAAGAAGCTTCTTCATTTATGCTCATCAATGGTGTAATTGCCATTGAGTAACATTGCCAGTGATTGCCTAGATATTGGCCCATCATCCTACATCCAACTGGCTTTACACTCTCCCTGTGGCTCTTCATGGAGATGTAAAGCCCAAATCTATGGAGTTTGTTCCAGGCAGAGTGGGAAATCAAATGGGTCCTTGATGTGTACCCCAGCACAGAAGGACAGTGGATATTCCAATCCAGTTAATGCTCTTGGAAAACCTTTGCTAGATATGTACAACATCATATGCACTTTAGACTACCTCTTGGAATGTTGGATTGCAGTCACTACAAACAAGCAAGATAAATTGCTACTCTAGATCTTTCTCAAAAATTTGTAAGATGTGAGAAGTTACTACAATATCATGCATAACAGACATTATACTAAATCTAGATTGTTGAATACCAAATAACCTGATAAAGTGGGAAGAATGCATGGACTGCTAAAGTTAGGGGTATAACTTTATAAGAAATTTTCTAAAATGAAATTAAATTCCATCACCGCTTAAGTTAGGGAAATAGCTTTATAAGAAATTTTCTAAAATGAAATTAAATTCCATCATGGAAAGACTCAAGTTCAGGTTTACCCCAGCCATGAAATTCACTCAATGACTTTATGCTTCTCAGTCTATCTCAGCCCAGCCCATCGCCCTGACTTCTTTTTGGTGGGGTAAAATTGAAGAGATTAAAAACTATCTATATGTTTGCAGAGTTGGAAGTGTTTATCAAAACAAATAAAAGCATCATGTCATTGTGTCACAAGCTTTATCTTTTTGTACATATGTGTGACATCACCTAACAAATAGCTTGCTTCATAGTTGTGCAACACTAATCTTATAATTTGACCTCTCTTCACTCCCTCCCCTTTTATATGCCTCTGACTATATACTTCATTGAACACCTGGAGGAAAATAGGAAATAAATATAATTAATAAAAATAAATGGCCTTTCTTTAATAATTCATAGCAGAAATACATACATTTGCGAAGATGTCTCTTATCGGCCTTTGTCCCACATTTATAAGTATTTGTTAACTTAAGTTTAATTTTGTTGCTGCATGCCAGCTTGCACTCAGCATGTGACTAAGTTTGCACAGGCATGTGCACTGGTGGATGTGTGCACGCTCAGCAAATATACCTGCAAACTTGATGGCTCACAGTGGAAAGGTTCTAACCTGCAGTGAAGCTATTTGGAGAGAACAAGATACATTCACATACAAGCAGACATTAACAAGTTCAGAACAAATTTAGCCATCTTTTTTTCTGATTTGCAGGGATGATAATAATAAGGTAACTGATGTATATGTTTCTAAAAAAAGTAACATTTTAAGAAACATATTGTTAGTTCTGGCTCCATTTATATTAATGAAATGGAGAGGAAATTTTTATTAATCCCTACAGTCCTTGGATTCTTTCCAACTGGGTTACAGTTTTATAGCAATGAAAATCTAACCAATGAATTGAAGAAGGAATACAGGAGTCCATCTTAGCAATAAATAACAAATATGGAATTAGAAACTGAATATTTCTGATAAATGACTTTGGTCTTTAAAGGTCTATTAAAATAGTAATTTTAAAAGTTATTAGATTAATAATAATATTTTTCTTAGCCATCTTAAATGTACATGATGTTAGCTTAATATTATTAAATTTAAAATTACTATATTTCATTCTGCTTTTCTGCTGACCTAAATACCATTATAAAGTTCTGCAAAACATAACTGAACAAATGTAAAGCAAGATTTATACAAAACCATTAAAAGGGAATGGTTCTACCAGTCCTGAAGAAGAAATGGTCCAGCACCTTTTCAAAAAACCATTGTTAGGTTCAATGGAGTTGCACAATTTTCACCCACATTTCTAACATTAGGAATAGCAATAGCACCTAGACTTGTATACCACTTCATAGTGCTTTACAGACCCCTCTAAGTGGTTTACAGCATATTGCTCCCAACATTCTGTTTAACGTGGTTAAAGCTGCTATGTGAGGTCATCCATCAACATAGAATTAAGTACCATTAGTAGGCTAATGAATCAGCTGTATATCTCTGTCCCTGGCCAGGAAGGTGATGCTTCTCTCTGTCTTTTCTCAGTGTCTGGAGGTTTTAGATGTAAAAGAAGCCTTCAGCTTAAAGAAACTATGGCAAGACCAGGTGGCTTTGAGATTTGTACTTCCAAGGATCCAAATCTGGATAATTTCTATTTTTGTCTCTCAGTGAGGTTGCACTTCCATATTCAAAATCTTTGTGCAATTTAATGGTCCTCCTCCTGCTTGAGAAGTTGACAAGCAACTAGAACCTGGAAGGCTTTTGCACAGTTCCATCTTCTGTGCCAATTGTACTATTTTCTGAATAGGTAGACAGACCAGGAAATCAATACAGGAAGGCTAAAGCTATTTTTATGAGATTGGGTATTATCACAGAATGCAGGTAGTCCTTGACTTACAAATATTTATTTAGTTCAGTTACAATGGCACTGAAAAAAGTGACATAACTGTTTTTCAACTTAGACAGCATTCCCACAGTCATGTGATCAAAATTTGGGTGCTTGGCCATACTTATGGTGGTTGCAGTGCCCTGTGATTATGTGATCATCTTTTGTGTCCTCCAGATAAAGTCAGTGGGGAAGCTAGATTCACCTAACAACTGTGTTACTAACTTAACAACTGCAATGACTGACTTAACAATTGTGGCAAGTAAAGTCATAAAATGGAGCAGAGTTCATTTAACAAATGTCTTGTTTAGCAGTGGAAATTTTGGGCTCAATTGTGGTCATAAGACGATAACTTATTTTGATCGTACTATGCTTCCTTCTCTTTTTTATATTTCATATATATATGAAATATATGTGAAATATATATGCTTCCAAATGTTATCTTGTTGTTTTGAACTTTAAAAAAAGTTTGACCTGGGTAATGGTACCTGCATATATCCATCAAGGTCATCTTTCTAACTCTTGACAATAAGTTGTGGTCACAGTCATTCATACCTTCATCACCTCCTAATTGGATTCTGCAATGCTTGCTACACGTGGCTGCCACTGATGAATCTGGAAATGGCAACTCTTGTCTAGAATGCCGGCTACAGGTAGTAATGGGTGCATCTTGTGCAACACCCAGTAAGATAACTACTTCCCAAGTTGTGAACAATCCCAGTAGGCTTCTTGTTGCAATTCAATGTGCTGGTTATCACCCATAAAGCTCTACATAGTATAGAGCTGAGTTACTTTGGGGATGACTTACCCCTGACTGTTGTGGCTCCGGGCTTGGATTCAGCTCCTGTGATTGATATGAGTTCAAGTGAAGAGGTCATCGCAGACAAATATGAGCTGGCCTGGCTTACTGATTGGACTGATAACCAGGATGAGGAGATGGACGTGACAAAGGACGACAGACCTGATGTATTAGAATTGTCAGGACCTTTGACCTCCTCTGGTTCCTTATCTGATCAACAGCCGGGAATGGCTGACAGGGAAGTTTTGAGAGAGTCTTCTAGTGGAGATGAGAACTTGGAAAATTTGTGGTTAAATGTAAAAAATAGAAGATCAGCTGGAGCGAATGAGAAGAGCAAGTCAGTAAATTAGCACGTTGCCTCAATGAGTATAAAAGGACACAGCTGGGCTGGTACATTTTGCCAGGAACAAAATAACTATTTGAGTGAAGACGTTACAGCAAGAAGCTCTGAGGCTGGAGATTTATTGCCAGGACTGGTTTGCCAGACAGAGTAAAGATTTATGCTGTGGTTTCTGCCAGCCGTTATCTTGTAAGACTTCTTTCCGTTTGATTTAATTGTGAAACAGCTGCTTTCTGTTTGTTTGAATTTCGAAGGGGAGTCATAACACCTGACTATATTTGCCTGTCCTACTAAGGTGGCATTCTCAGATCCTCTTTCTAAATCAGTGTCATCTAATGGACCTAAGAAATGGGCTTTCAGTATTGCTGCTCTTGCCTGTTAGAATGAGCTCTTTTGAAGGTTTGGATAGATTCTTTGCCATAAAGACCTGACTTTTCTTCAATGAATTGGTCCAGCTGAGTGAGTGAATACTTGTTCTGCCTATTTGGCTATACATATTTATATCATTATGGTTTTTTATATTTTATGTTATTTTTGTTCAGTGTTGACTGTTCTTAATTGCTGCCCAAAATAACTAATTAGAAATTAGGAAGTATTACAATTTTTTAAAATTAAATTAAATATTGTAAAAAGAACACATAACCTTAATTTGTAACACATGGTAACAACATTAAAATTGAGACCCAAAAGCCAAATAAAAGATTATTTTAACTTCCCTAGTTAATGGTGAAAGAACCATTTTTCCATCAAAAGGCAAAGTTTTTCATAAGAGGGGGGATCTTCAATAAGCCATTGTGTATTTGGCATGTAGGGTGGGCATAGTCTACTGGGAGCAGATAGTCCCGAAGGACATCTGGTCTCAAGCCATGAAGGACATTCTAGGTAATATCCAACACTTTAATTTTTTAAAATAGAATTTAGAATTTTGATTTCATATTTGGGAGATGCACACCACTCAAAATGAGTAGATAGGAGTGGACCGCAAACCTGAAAATAAAATAAAAATAAAATATAAAAAGCAGTTGGAAATTTATATAAAAATTGTGCAAATATCAATGAAGAGAAACAATTCTGCTTAAATAGATTTAGCCTGTCAGCACATGGGCCAATATATTGAATTGATGTTTTTGAATAATCTTCGAAGGCAGCCACAGCAACAGGATACTGTAATAATCAAACTGTGAAGTGATTAGAGCCCAAATTACTATAGCCAGACTATCTGATGCCAAGAACAACTGTATCTGTGCACCATCTGAACCTGGGCAAAAGTTTTCCTAGTCACCATGGTCAGCTTCCAGTTCATATAATTGATTTTTTAAATTTGAAATAATATCCTGTGCCACCTCTAATATGAAATAAAAATTAATTACTGAACCACATCTAATTATGAATTTAATTAAATATTATTTCTCAATTAAATATAACACTGAATCAAAGTAAATACCAGTCAGCCCTCTCAGGTAAACCAGACAGGAAACCATGACCTGGTGCGCTAATTGTACTTTATTGTAAGGCTATATTAATGTATTTTTTTCAGTCTTAATGTACAAATGTCCTGCCATCATTTTTAGTAGCCTGATCCATTAGGGAAGGTCCTTCCTAAATTTCTTTCTCTAATTATTAAGCCACAAGAGAGTATCCTCTCTCTTGCCTGATTGCAAGCAGCATCTTTTCCCCTGTCTCTTCAGTTCATTTTCACATACCATTACAATGTGCTAATATTTTTTAAAAAAATTATATGACATATACTAGGATATCAAATAGATTTGATGATGCAGGGAAATCTAACTTTCACACTTAATTTTTAAGTAGTACCTGCTTCCTTATACTAAGCTATAATCTTGTTTTCTTAAGCTTATAAAACCCCTGGTAAAAAAATAACTACATTTGGCACAGTTTCCTTTCTCAGAGGGGGAAATTTCTAGATTAGTATTTTGTTTCGCCTCCTTGTAAATATCTAATAAGTTGGCCTTTGAGTAATATTAATAAGACAATGAGGGCTTGATGGGAGTTAAATATCTCTAAACTCTATGAATTGATCCGTAGGAGCCGTTTTCCACATGAGTGGCAGCTTCACCGAGGCATACATCCGCAAAGAGAGGAGGTCAGGGTGCGAAGGAGGAGCAGGCTTGGCACTATCTTCCTGCACTCTCTTACTGACAGTATCTTGCTTTGGCAAAGGAAGTGAAGCGCATAGACCATGCTCAGTGGCATTTCCAAATGCATCTCAGCTGGGGACTTGTGCTTTATTGCATCAGCAGCACACACTGAAGGGGTGGGGGTGGGGAGGAAAGACATAATTTTGTCAAAGTAGTAGATCACAATCTCCCCTCCTCCTTCAAAATCACCAGCACCACACACTAATAGCTCTAATAGATTCAGATTTTTATGCATATTTCAGTCACAGCAGTATTTCTAATGCATATGTGAAAGGGTTCTAATTTATGTCCACCAACTGTGTAGTGCCCTTCTTTTGGGTAATGTCATCATCCTAATGGTGTTTCTATTATACTCAAAGGTAGTAAATGAGGCTTATTGCAGGAAGGTAATTGATTTTCACTGAATGAAAATGTAAATAGCCATAAGAAATCCTGTGAAAGACAAGCAGTCTGAAATTGTCAAAGAAATGAGCCACATACATAACTTATTTGTCCTTATATTTGTGAAAATGCCTGCTCTTCCCTCTCCAGTCAGCAAAAAACTAATAATAACATAATTCATTTCATTTCCATTTTAAAAAGCAATATAATGGGAGGATATAGATGATTTTGTGCTATGTTCACAGTTTGATTTATAAAATATGTATTAATTGTATTGTAAAAGAGTAATACATTTTGTTGGGTTCCTCTCATGTTGGAAAGTCTGTAAATAATATTTTTGAAAGAAAGATATAAAAATTTTTCTTCCCTGACATCTTTATACTGTAATAAAATAATCTAATAAATCTGTCCCCTGATTTGGGAAGCTGGGACTTTCTTGCTTTAGAATGATCACTGAGCATGAGAAGATTTGTTCAAACATCAGAACTGATGTGGAATGGATGAGTTACTGTTAATAGAACACATGCATTTCTCATGCTAAACTGCAGGAATCATCCATCCATTTGTAGAACTGTTTTAGATCAGGAACTAGAAACAGCTGTGGTTCACAACTGTACTTTTACAAGTTTTTAGTATTTTGCCTAAATTATTAGCATTCCTAGAGTATACTTCATCTTAATATTATGATGTTTTTATGCATATGCTTTGTGTAGTGAACTCCAGAAGTTTTGAAAGTTGCTTTTGCTTTGTATGGGAAGGTGAGTTATGTATCCGCAAATTAACATGGAAATTCAAATGCAATCTCTATAAATAATCTGCACTTCAGTCATGCAGAATTAACCAATAAGGACAGTCTTAAGATCATAGTCAAAACATTGAGAGCAGAAGCGAGAGTTGTGCTGGTACAACCAACCCAAAAGTGTAGCATTCTTTTAACCCAAGAGAAAGCAAAGTTGAGAGCTGATAAAGTATTTGGGGACCAAATATTGTCATAACTAAAGAATTATGATAAATGCAGAGTTTAGTCACAGATTGGATTGAAAGGCACCTTAGACACCATCTAGTCCAAATCTTTGTTCAGTGCAGCAATATTTTACTACATCATCTCTTACAGGTGGCCAACCAACCTTTGTTTAAGCATTTCCAGTAAAGGAAAGTTGATTTCCACCTCAGTCCTTTCCACTGATAAATAACTCTTACTATTAACATTTTTTAATATCCAACCAAAATCTACTTCATTGTTATATACAGTAAAACCTATTGTGAAAACAGCTACTGTATGTCTTACTGCTGTTTTCTTTGTTGTAGATTAAGCACCTCCAGTTCCTCCAACTACTTTTTACACATGAAAGCATAAGAGCCAGTTGGCACAGTGGTTAGAATGCAATAATGCAGGCTAATTCTGCCCACAACCACGAGTTCAATCCTGACCAGCTCGAGGTTGACTCAGCCTTCCATCCTTCTGAAGTTGGTAAAATGAGGGCCCAGAATGTTGGGAGAAATATGATGACTTCTAAACCTCTCAGAGAGTGCTGCAAAGGAGTGGTATATAAGTTTAAGTCCTATTGTATATGTTTCATTCTGAGCTGTTTCTCATTTGGTTCTTCTTCTTAGGGCAAACTCATTTTTAAAGTTTGCCCTAAAATGTGGTGCTCAAAATCAAATACAGTATTCTAGGAATTGCTCTCTTAAATACTTCAGATTAGAGATTCAGGATTTATAGGTCAGGATAAAGATAAATTTAACCTGTTTGATAAAGAATTGTGCCCCTCTTCTTTGAATATCAGTCTACAGTTTGGAATCCATTCTTAGAGTTTGGGAGTCATTCTTAGAACTGAATATTCAGGTATTAATGATTGATGAGAGTACTTTCAGTTATGTTTGTTTATTTGTTTATAAAATTTGTTTTACTACTATGCCAGTAAAATATTAATAAAATTGATACATTTGAAAATGAATGTTTTAAAATGTTAATACATAGGCAGTTGTAGTTAGACAGAAAATGAAAAAAGTGCATCATCACATCATGACATATTTTTCATTAGCCCCCTATTCTTTTATGAACATTTGCAATAAAGCTGCCAGAAAATATTCACTGTACTGCAAACTGATGAGATTTCAGTATTGACGTACCATTACTTGTGCAAAATGTACCAATTTTAAAAATATTTTATGTGAATATTTCAAGTGTATGCTGGTAATATTTTTATTTCAATGAATAGTGGTATATTAGAACTAAGTGATCAATTATACTGTATTTTTTTTCTTTATAATATACTTGCTTTAAAGTCTACAAAATTAGCTCACGTTAATTTACTTTTAGTTCTTTATCTGGTGTTTTATTATCAAGACAGCTTGTGGATTAATATATTTATCTGGAAAGAATTGGTACACAAATATCTCAGTACTAATATTGTCCCTTGCTTTGAATTCAAACATTAAAGCATTACAATGTTTTTATAATGATATTGTGCAGCTTTCAAGAACAAAGTTTTTCACATCTGCACCTTTATTAGGGAAAGGAATTATCGGGAAGAGGATAAAGGCTCTGTTTGACCTTTTCTTCCATTCTCCGCCCCTTATATAGAAGACCCATAATATTGACTCATTAGTATTCATAAGAAGTCATCAAAGTGAGATGATTTTCCTTAGAATAAATATGAATTAGAAATGCACAGTATTGATACTATGACCCCAAGTAAATGAGTTTCTTCTTGCTTTAAAATATGTAAGTTGCTATGTTTGAAGTTCTTCATTACTACAGAATTATGATTATATTTTTCAGACAAATGTCTGTTTTAGTTTCCACATATAATTTTAAAAAGTAAATAAAGGTTACATTGAGGATGTTAGAGGACCTGCATATATTATAAAAGATAAAGTAGAAAGTAGAGAAAATTGATGCATACTTTAACACATAAATAAGGAATTTGCAAATATTTTTGTATTTCTTAAAAATATGGTGATTATAACTTGTTCTGTTTAAAAAATAAACACAAAATATGAAAACATTTTTATGCTGATATAATCTTCTGCTGTGAATACATATAGACTCTAACAACAGTGAAAGTAGTTGAAGTGAGTAAATAAGTAATAAAAAGCACATCAATGTACTTAAAATGAGACAGCCAGATGGCAGAGAATTGCAGTTCTTGCTGTAATTTTATCAAAATTACTATTGTCATGGCATGTTAGTTTTCATAAGAATTTGTACAGTCACTGATCTTATACAGACAAATTAATTTCAGGTTCTCTCATGTGTAGTCACATAACAGCTACACTTGAGCACGCACAAAAGAAAATTAAATAATCATAGTCGCATAAACTTGAAATGCAGCACAATTTTTAAGTTTATTATTCCATAACATCTTACTAGAAATGTTCAGTTCTCTTGTACAAAACTCAGTTTGATCTATAAAGGTATTCCCATTATATGAATTCTGCTGCATTTGATCTTCCTTATGAAACTATAAAGTATTGTTTAATATACTAGAGCTTTTGGAAACTATATTATTTTAAAGATTGCTTAAGAGTTGTAAAACTCTTCATAACCCTTCATAAAATTTAACACTTACCTTCTGTCACACAATTGAAATGAGTTATTTGAATCCAAGCCAGTTGGACCATTTAAATTTCTGACATATATTATTATTATTACATATCTTTTGATGTAAAGATCATTTGACAGTATGAAATTAAAAAAATTTGATAGGAAATATACATTTCCTCCTCCATCATCACTTTTACTAGTCCTTCTCCTTCTTCTCCTTTCAATTCTCTGAAGCTGATATTGGAATTCTTCACATCTTATTTTAGAATGAGGCAATCTTAGTCAATATGATGGATAATTTAAAATAGGAAGTAGATAATAGTGCAAATCAATGCTTCTGCTTAAACTTTATGTGCTATTCAGTTCTACCTATGAGTAATCCTTTTGATACTTTTCATGTACAGGATTTAAAACCAGTCTTGTTTGATCTGATAGTCACAGATAGTGGCTAATGTTTAACATCTTGGCGCTAAAGTATATTTACATTTATTTATTCAGCATTCTATTTTATATGCATGCTTCTTATTTTCTACATGAATCTGTTGGCAAATGCCACAAGAATTTGGGGGTTGGTTATATTCTAATTTTCCAGGTATAAGAAAAAGTTGTCACTATCATAAAACTAAATGCCAATTATTAAGCTGGCTTTGTAGGCTACATCTCATTCTCTGGAAATAAACTACCCCACATCATGTGAACTAGGAATATACTATTCTGAGCTTTCCATAATTCTGGGGAAAATACCCTTTTTACTGGGAGGATTTCTCCTATAGCAACATTTCCCTGAGGATTGTATTGTATGCAATATCTATTATTTGAGAAACTAACCAGGGTTTAACATTTCCCTTCCAGGCAGTTAACTCTCAAAAAAAAATCTAGAGGAATTCTATACAAGCAGGTTCAACAAGCTCCCTCCACAAAATAAGGGTGGGGCGCTGTGTCAGACTTATTCTTTTATTCAGTCACTTCAGGATCAATTCTGTGTCTAAAATATTGAAGCCATTAATTCATTATTAGTTCTTCCAGTGAAATGTCTGGGATTTTTTTTTCTGGTATTGAATGTTTTGTACTTGTAAAATTGTGTACTGAACAATTTTCTCCTATTTAATGGCATGAAGTTTTCGTCATTTGAAATCTTTGAGGGCTTAGTTTTAAAGATATATGGGAAAACCTTGACCTCGAAATACATATCTTTGTGATCAGTACGAGCCTCCCGAGTATCAGGAATCTCTTCATTTCAAGTCTATCATCACCATTCCTCTGAATTTTTCAGCTTATCCCCATAAAATGTGCTGTGTTTCAAATTCTTTTTCACCTATTTGCATGGCTGGCATTGCCTATTGACACATTTTTTTAATACCAAGCAGCAGATCAGCTTTTGCATTTTCCTCTTTCATCTTCAGCAAGAACGCTGTTAAATCTTTCTTGTTTCCAGCTTTCCAACCATAATCATACATATACCGGAAGTTGCTGGTGTTAATTCCAATTTCTATTTCATCTAGTCCAACATTTCTTATTCTGCAGATAATTTAAATAGGTGCAGTGAGAATTTACCAACTTAGCACATTTCTTTCCCAATTTTGAATAATTCACTTGTTCAATATTATATTCAAACTGTTTGGTAATCCCATGAATGGATCTTCTGAAAAAAAATGTAGATGAAAGAAAAGAAGTGAAATAAGAGTAAAAGCAAAATAACTTGAGTCTTAAGAATGTTGAGTCCCATATTGTAAAGTATTAGAAGACAAAATAATCAGCCAATGGAATGAATGGAATTTGGATTTAAGGAAAGAGGATTTTGAAGTTTCTGGAAACAATGAAAATAGATATGTTATAGATTATGACTGAAGAGTGCAGATTTATGCTAATAGGAATGATGAGAAAGGATCTTTGGTAAAATGATAAAATAGAAAACATGGATTTTAAAAAATATACAATTGACAACATTCATTGCAAAAGAATGATCAGAGATGCATATTGTATAATGTGTATATGAAGAAAAATATCATAATGTAATTAAGGAAAATAAGGAACTGTTAAGATGGAGAAGGAAAAGAGATTTTGATGGAAGGAAAAATGGAAGTATGTAAAAAGGGCCAAACAAGGAGTCCCCAACAAAGTAAAGAGAATTAAAAATATGTAATAAAATGATCTGGAATGCAACTGAATTGGAAGGATTACCTGATTTTATAAGAATCAAACTAATATGAAAACATTCTCCTGAAAAAAAGGACAAAACTAAATGCAATGGGTTCATTTGTAAAGTGTGCACTGGAAGTTGCTCAGCATAAGAAAAGACAGTAATCAAAACTTAGGAAATGGTTTAGTTTTATATAAGGCAGGAGGTATGAAGGCCTGATTTTTTCTCCTTTTAAACAGTTAATTGATGAATATATGGGAAAAAGATCTTTGTGAGTAAAACATCAAATTTTATTAATCAAGAGAAAGTGTATATTAAAGTAAATAAGCTTAAATTATAAAATGCTTTGTACACGTATGGAGTTGAATGTTGTTGCTAAATAGGAGTGATATAAGTAAGACATGAATAAAAATAAGTGAAATATTTCGCAAATGGTTCCACCTTGACCAGGGAGTAAGACAAGGATCTGTGATGATGTCTTCATTGTTTATGAATAATAAATAAGAATTAGAGATGTGTTGGATAGAATAAGAATGTGTGTGTACTCTTGTATGTAGGCAATGCTATGTTGCTGGATAAGTATTTTATTAATTTCCAGCAAATATTACATAGATAGCATTATGAAATAAAGGTTTAGATCTGAAAATGAAAATGACAAGGTAAATGGAGTAGATGATTGCAAGTTATAAATGCCCAAAACAAGCAAGAGCAAGCAGATAAATTTATGTACCTTGGTACAGTGGTGGGATTCAATTTTTTTTACTACCAGTTCTGTGAACGTGGCTTGGTGGGCATGGCAGGGGAAGGATACTATAAAATCTCCAGTCAGAGGTGGTATTTGCCGGTTCTCCGAACTAC